GAGAAGCAATGACTGGTCCTGGGCAATGTGCTGAAGTCAGTGTGAACCTCGCGTGAACCCTGATGAAGGAGTAGCGGCTATGAACCTTGTAGGTTCTGCCGTAGCTGCTAATAGATCAAATTTTATCTAATTTTAATAAAAAATTAAATATAATTTTATCTGCAGATAAAAATAAATATTGGGTTAACGTTCCTTAGGTTGCTGTTTCTTTTTTTTTTTGTTATTGTCGCCTGAGGCACCTATAATTTATTATGCACCCCATACTCATCCTGTGAGCGGTAACGCCTGAAAGGATTACAGAAGGCACAAAAGGTCTTTATCAAAACTTAGCGGAGATTGTTATATTAAGAATTATATCTAACCTGCTCACCTTATAATTACAATAACAAAGTTATACGCTGTTGTATTGCAGCATCTATGTGTTTACAATAAATTATTATACATCGACGGTAGGTCTTTTGTTACTACCTAAAATTGTGCCATGGGCACAATCAGAGAACACTGTATGAACATCAGAGGTCCACGGTTGTTCAACGTCCTACCAGCGAGCATCAGAAATATTACAGGAACAACCGTGGACATCTTCAAGAGGAAACTACATTGTTTCCTTCAAGGAGTGCCGGACCAACCGGGCTGTGGTGGGTATGTGGGCCTGTGGGCCGCCCCAAGCAACAGTCTGGTGGACCAAACTCTCACAAGTCAAGCCTGGCCTCGGGGGGTAGAAGAACTCCCAGAACCCCATCAACCAGGTAACCCCGCGATAGCAGCCACAGACTGACGATATAAATGCGAGCACAGCACGCAGTATATCCTTTCACGACCAAAGATCACATTCACTCCCCAAAAAATCTTCCACTTACGGGCTATTCATGCCCGTGCCACCTCTTGGATGGCTTAATCTTCATCACTCAATCACAAACAAGGAACAACGATTTCAGGTTCAACAAGCCACAACTTAGGACAAAAAGAGATGTTTTTTCACCCATGTGGGGCATAACAATGCACAACTACCAAATCATCAACATTATCTTGGAGTCAGAATCCACCAATCACTGATAGTTGTACAACAAGTGGAAGCTGCAGTTATAAACGTAAACCAAATCCTTTGGAATAGTCAAACGAAATTTTGACGAAGGAAAAAGTAGTTATACAACTGTATAAATCTCTGGTGTGCTTCCACTTGGATTATTATATCCACGCCTTGAGACCTCATCTTCAGAAAGACTGTTTTCTGTTTTGTCTGTTTTGGAGGAAGTTCAACACCGGGCGACTAAAATATTTTCCGAACTAAGTCAACTTTCATACCGAGAACGGTTGAGCGCCACAAAGGGACCCGCAGACAAGACAGTGCTGCTCTCAGCAAAACTTTTAAATTACTGAACACTTTGGAAGATATTGACCCAGAACACTTCAAAAGGCTAGATGGAAGACGAACAAGGAGCAACGGTTTCGAGCTCAACAGTCTCCAAACTTGATACAATAATTGTAAGTGACTCCTTATATGGTCACTGCTTGCATCACAAGCGGGGATGTTTCTGGCGGGGGAGAAAGAAACAATTGCGCAGCGCGTTGCGCGGGCTGTTTGGGGCCGTAAATACGGGCGCACAACGGGGCTCCGCCTCACTCCGCCTGCCCTCGCCGCTGCCCTCGCGTCATGCTTTGCACAGTTGTCCCGATTGTCTCCCCACTGCATGTGGGAAGGGGGGTGCAGCGCCGGTCCCCAAGTGTCCCGCTGTCCGCAGCTAATACTTTGCCCAGTCTAGGTGCTAGTAAGCCCTACTTGTAGTCACACCCCCTTCTCCTTATCCATTAGGTCTTTTACGGCCTCTTGGCCGGGTACATTACGTGTTATGTGGTCTCTCACTTATTAGTTATTCTTTGTGTCCTGCCTGTTATATCCTAGTGTTATATAATTACTACACATTTGCACTCGGCCTTAATTCTAGTACCAGTTAACCTTTAGGTTTCTGCAGAATTAGTTTCCATGTCACTATAGGCTAAGGTCTCATACTTACTACGGGTGTACCTTTTAAGTTAAATCTAGTCCTTGGAATTGTTACTGTTAATTCTTACTTTATATATTTACTTTATATATTTACTTTATATATTTTAATATAAACGTTATATATTCCTTAAATTATATTTGAAACTTTGTATATTTACATGTTCAATATTAAGTTTTATATAATATCAACTTTGTTAAGTCTATAATATAAACCGTGTTTAATATAAACTTTATATAATTACTTACTTTATGTGAACTTTATATATTTACATGTTCTGCAGAATTTAATCTTCAATAAACTGTAACGCCCCATACTGCCAGTATCTTTCTCCCCCTGGTCAGAAAATCATCCTTAATTGCTCTCAACTCTTTAAGACATAATTGTAACATGCTCGTGTCCGAAGCTAGACACAAATACAACAAAATTATTAAGGATGGTAACAGAGTACATTTCATGTGGTCTAGATTCTCATGTTGGCCTTCGAATGCATGATAGAGCTGATAAGTTAGCCAAAGAATCTGCCTTTAAAGGAGCCGTTGAGTGTAACCTTGGATTGTCAATGAGCAATCTGAGAGCAGCAGTACACCGATAACTTCAACAAGATCTTGTAGATCTGAGGCAAAGTGAAATTGACACCAGTAATTCCATCTATCATCATACTATCATGCAAGAGGAGCCACACATCTATGGTTCATCCAATAAAATTAGCAGACTTCTAGATGTTACTACTGCTCGGCTTAGACTCGGTTACAAGTATCTCTGGGAATTCTCATTATCTGCTGATGTAGACCTGACCAAATGTAAACTGTGTTGAATGAGTTGTTCAGATGAGATGTTCGCTTGCTAGGCTTGCAGTTACACAACTGGTTGGGGTCCAGTTACACAACTGGTGGGGGCTTCGGTTACACAACTGGTCGGGCTCCGGTTACAAAACTGGTCGGGCTTCGGGAGTGTAACTTGGGCTTCGGGTTGTGCATTACCCTCTTTGTGTAATGAAATTTTAAAATAAAGTTAGATATATATATATACACACATATTAAAAGAATAGGGGTGGTAGGAGAAAAAAATATCAAAGTGTTTAGTGAGGATCCACAAGGTCTTCTCTGGGTACTCCTTACTTTCTTCTCCGAGGCTATGGGTCCCTACACTTGTCCCAGAGGTGGTACCCCTTATAGGTTCGAATCCTGGCCGGGTCAAAGAGTTCTTAGTGATCTATGGCTTGCGCTTTCATGCAGCTTTCTCACACATTATATATAATGTGGAAATATATTATATATGTGTGTGTGTGTGCAGAAATAATATTAATAAAACAATTAACATCGTGTAGTGTACTCTATATATCAAAATATATTACTTTGAACCCGTATCACTCACAAAAAAATTGGGCAACTCTTATTACAACTTCGCTACTTTTAGAGCGCCAGCTTGCTACTTTCCGCAATTTGGATCTGGGGACCCTGGTAGTGCCCCGGGGGTGACGGAGAGTCGTGAGGGAACTGTAGATATGTATAGTCCTGAGGGTAAGCTGTAGATATGATGACCAAGGTAAGGTCATCATAGAGTAAGCTGTAGGTATGATGACCAAGGTAAGGTCATCATAGGGTAAGCCGTAGGTATGATGACCAAGGTAAGGTCATCATAGGGTAAGCTGTAGATATGATGACCAAGGTAAGGTTATCATAGAGTAAGCTGTAGGTATGATGACCAAGGTAAGGTCATCATAGGGTAAGCCGTAGGTATGATGACCAAGGTAAGGTCATCATAGGGTAAGCTGTAGATATGATGACCAAGGTAAGGTCATCATAGGGTAAGCTGTAGGTATGATGACCAAGGTAAGGTCATCATAGGGTAAGCTGTAGGTCCTGCATTGTCCAGGAGGCAAGGAGTGTCGGTAGGGCAGTAGAATGCATGCCGTTGACCCGGTAGTGGAGGAGTGACTGGTGTAATTACCTAAGTGTAGTTACAGGATGAGAGCTACGCTCGTGGTATCCCGTCTTCCCAGCACTCTTTGTCATATAACGCTTTGAAACTATGGCGGGGTCAAAGTGCGCCAGGGTTGGGGGGTGAAGGGAAGGGAACTATCAGGGGGAAAAGCACTAAGCTATTACTACTATATATCACTGGGAAGGGGTCAGGATAAGGATTTGGGATGGGACGGAGGGAAGGAATGGTGCCCAATTACTTGGACGGTCGGGGATTGAACGCCGATCTGCATGAAGCGAGACCGTCCAGCCTAAGTGATTGGGCGTGTTTCCTATCATCTAATGCACCTGTTCACATAATGAGTGAACACAATAAATTATCATAAAAAAATTATTCTGCCAGTTAGGTAAATTGGGCCTTGCTTTCTAAGCCAAGTAGTGCATTCTGGCTATTAGGTACAACATATGTATGTCATATCTAATGGGCTAAGGTGATTAACAAGCAGAGTTTTTCCACAATTATATATTTTTCATAATTTTTCTTATGGAAGGATAAAGTTTTCCATCGTATCATATGATTTAATTTTTCAAGTTAAAACTTGCATAAAAATCTGATCTAGCCTGACCTAGCCTAACCTACCCTACCCTAACCTACCCAACCAAATCTAACCTACCTATCCTCTTCTACCCTAACCTAAGATAGTAATTCATGTTCTTGATATACTGGTACAGTACAATAATTGGAATAAACTACTATAATTTAAAAATAATGAAAATCACTCTGCCTATTAGGCAAATTGGGCCTTGGGCCAAAATTACATAACACTCGACGTCACATTTTTATTCCGACTTTCTTTACCTCTCTCTTTCTTAACTTGATAATGGTCCAGAATGGAACAAAATGTCATCACTTTTTCATTTTCAGATACAGTAAATGGGTTGGGTGTCTATTGTGAGACTGTCAGCATTCATTATATGGTTTATATTGCAAGATAAGCTTGGCATTGGGACTGGGGATACCTTCTTGGGTGAGCTATGATCAAATTATATCTAATTAATCTTCTCATTTTAGGAAGGATCTTGAACAATGTCGGCTCCGGAAGAAAATGTATACCAGCTGATCGTGGTTGGTGCAGGGATGATTGGGTCAGCTGCGGCCTACCATGCCTCTTTAATCCCTAACACAAGCGTTTGCCTCGTAGGACCTGCAGAACCCAAGGTAAATGTGTCTTGGTGATGGTAGGGATGGTAGTCGGAAGTGTCTAATCCCTGCTCTATCCTCTCCTACCCTACCTTAACCTAACATAGTGGTTCCTATTAACAAAATGCAAAAAATGTTCCTATATTTTGGAGGGCAGTCCTTAAATTACCAACTTACCAAGTGGCTGGGCACCATTTCCTCTCCTCCATCCTATCCCAAATCATTATCCTTATATTTCTTCCAAGTGCTTTGTAAACTTTCATGATTATTTCTCATTTTGAAAGCTCTTGAAATTGGAGCTATTGATTTAATTTCTCTCTTACTGCTAAGCTTCAGTCTCCATACACCTACACAAGATTGGTTCAACATAGATTGAGAGAGGGCCTTAGACCAAAACATAAGGAAATGTAATCAATATAGTAAAAACCCTGTAGCTTGTGTCTTACCTTTCTAAGATGCTGTGACTAGAGTGAACTTAGGTAGTCTATATACCCTTAGAATAATCAGATAGGTTGGTGTTAAAACACAGCAACAATATACTGTACTGTACTAATACAGTATACTGTATATATTTTCAAAATAAATTATAGGATGGTAGTGGAGTTTGTGAGGAGAGTCAAAAGACTTGCTCTTGGTAGAGTCCAGAGTTGACTGTCAAGGTGAGGAGAGGTCTTGTTAATCTAATGAAACTCAACCTTACATTATGGACTTGGTTTTGATAGGCAGCTTGCAGACCAATGATGCATTTGCATCTGTTAATCACCTAGCTTGTATTTTTCCATTGCATCCAACCATGGGTGATACCAGCCACATGTAACACCATTAATGCTTTTTAGTTATATTAACATGCAAAGTGAGTGCAGCATGAGAAGGAATTGCTGGCACCAGACATCCTGGCACTAGTTTTAGTTTAGTTGATTTATTATGCACCCCATACCCATCTTGTGGGTGGTAGTGGAAAGGCTGACACTAGACAATGGAAACTCGTACTTCTTGTGTGTGAATTGCACTTTGGCCCAAGAGGTCAGGTCATGGAAGGCCACATGTTAATAACCAACCAGATACTGCAGCCTGTTAATTGGATAATTGCAGCTGTCACCTGTGCCGTATTCCATCACAAGAGTATCGGTCATGTCCATTGTTTTGTAGCAAGATGATAACTTCAGGCTATCACAGGCAGGTGTGGCTTAGCTCTCTGCTTCCCAGATAAAGCACAGAGCACGTGCAGAGAGAGAGAGAGACAGGGACAGAAAGACAGATATGGGATCCTCGCTCGCTGGTGAAGGCCTTGATTAGATCTTTTCCCCGCCAGTCGATTCCTTATCTTCAACCTTGGTGAGCTGTGTTTGTGAGGTGATGTATACTGTATACTGTGGTTCCTATTTAAATATGTTTTGTGTAGATGTCAGGGGCAGTCAGTCATGCAATTTCTCAATTTGTCATTAGTAATTCTACTTGCATTAGTAACTTAATTAATTTTGATTTATGTAGAACATGAAATGTCAACTGTTAACTTTTGTAAGATTGACTTTAAATGCAAATACCCTATATTGTGTGTCCCACTCCATCATACACCACCCATCCTAAAGTCATGGGTGGTGTATGATGGAGTGAAGAGCACTTACTTAGATTGTTTATGATCTGGATGTTACAGTATCATCATTCCCTCCCTCCCATTCTCGCTCTCCCTCCTGCCCATTCTCTCGCTCTCCCTCCATTCTCTTTCCCTCTCAAAACATGCCCAATACATTCCCGACAAACATAAAATTTAATCACAGTGTTACTTTTCCTATTGTTACTTTTGTAAGCAGGTTACATTGTGTGTTAATGAACAGCTGAAATATCTGTTGATAATACTCTACGGACATTCACACCTACATTTCAGACTGCATAGAAGTCATTGGTGGTTGCTATAGAAGCTAATCCCACTTAAGGGCATGTGGGGGCATTGGGCATCGACCTCGCCCCCCAATGACACTTCCCATGCAATCGTAAATGATCATGCAAAGTCAAAGTACCCTGCGAGTAGCCCCAAGTATTTGGCCTCCAGCCTCGAATGAACAAATATTCTCATTTATAGATACAGTATATAGTTTAATACAGTACCTGGATTGAATATTATTTAATGGCAACTCTTGTGATTCTGTTTACTGTATCATGCACTGTAATTTTGTATGTTTCTGTCTAGGGTTTGAACATACGTACTGTAATGTAATCTTTTTAACCTAATCTAAATCAGTGTCGTAAAGGACGAGAGATATTTGGTTGCTGGTACGATGAGGGCCGACTATGTTACCGGGTCAGTGGAACTCCAACTTGGAGCACTCTTGCTTCAGAATCTCTGTACAGATACAGGGAACTGGAAAAACTGACAGGTATGATCTGTAGGGCATTTTCTTTTAGTTTACAGTGTTCGGGTTAATACCTAAATCTTCATTCGTAAACCTAACCAAGACCTGGCTAAGAGTGGAAGTAAATAAAATACAGTTCAACACGACTAGATGTGCAGCTCCCCCAACTATTGTTTACAGACTTGATAAGAAGGGCTGTGAACTTGCCATCTCGTATTATTGAGAGCTGAACTGTCTTAGTCATTAAGGTAAGGGATATCTGTAGTGAACATAAGTTATATATGTTCAGTTTGCTACCTATGTATCAAGGTTGTGACAATTTGCACAGTATAGAGCATAGAATCACTTCATGCTAACATATCTGACCAATGGTAATATCAGAAATCATATGATAATTAAATATAATGCTACCTGATTGGTGGTGGTGATGTTAACATTGATCTTTGTTCATCAAAAGCATGTGATTGTACCTTTGGTTGTATCTTTGATTGTACATGTGCTTGTGCTGTACCTGTCTCTGGCCCTCTTGCAATTTCTGTTGAACCAATCCTGTTTCTTAGTTCTGCATCTCGGGTATATATCTTTTTATATCTTTATTGTATATTTCACAAAACTTGACATATATCTCATTTACTTCCTTGCCTGACAACAAGTTTTTCCAATCAAATTCATTAAAGAATTTTAAAAATTCCTCCATTGTGCCCTCTTCTGAAATCAGGTTTTTCAACTGCTTTACTCGTTCATTTTCCTCATTCACTTCTAGATTATAATGCATTGCATACTTTATTTTCAAAGTGACATGGTCACTTTTACCCAAGGGGAGAAGTTATTTAATGTCAAATATCTCTTCTTTTTTCCTGGTGAATATCAAATCCAGCATTGAAGGAACATCCCTTTCCCTCATTCTCATAGCTTGTTTAATGTGTTATGCATGAGTGTCTCCAGGATGAGGTTTACAATTCAACCATTCTAAAAGTCCTCTGTTCTTGCTTCGTAGGTCTCTCATTCTATGGATTTTTAATTGAAGTCACCAAGTACCAACAGTTGTGATCTATTTTTATTTGCTCTAACTATAAAATCTCTCTCACGGTCATTTTGATGCCCTCTCATTTGTTGTAGAGCTGCTCCTTTGTCCATGTATTGCATGCCGGTGGACTGTAGGCATCTATGATTATCAGTTTATCATGCTGATTACAAATCTCTAGTGCCATTATGTCAACTTCTCGAGGGTTGGCAATCATTAATTCATACCGTATACATCTGCTGGTGGTACCAATAAGCATACTACATATCTGCTTCCATTCTCGACTATTTTTACTTTATTAGATCACCTCAGTTGAGGAATAATTACTGACAGCAATTGATCCCCAATTTGCTCGTAACATTATTAAAACACAAACTAAGGCACTGAAATTCAGACTCAACGAAACACATATAAATACTGCAGCTTTATTGAAGCAGTTAAAAGCATATACAGTAGTTTTAGTGGGGCTGTAGTACATCTGGTATTTGTAGCTCTAAATTTGCCAGATTGAGAGGATTTTCAAATCCACAGTAACATTGTGTACTATATATTCAACAGGGCACTTGAATAATTTCTTGCAAGAAGTGCCGGACCAACCGGCTGTAGGGGGATATGTGGGCCTGCGGGCTGCTCCAAGCAACAGCCTGTTGGACCAAGTTATCACAAGTCAAGCCTGGCCTCAGGGCAGGCATGGGGAGTAGAACTCTCAGAACCCTCTGCAGGTATGCTCCAGGTATCAGTTATAGTTGATAGTCTAACCATCTTATGAGATAGTCATATTCAGAGAGTGGGAAGGTCTAGGTCTAATGGGAGGGTAGCAACCCATGGCATCTGGTGTAAGTGACACTAGACACTGTAAGCTAGGGTGAGCCAGAAGTGGCAGGTCCGGGCGGTAGTTGGGGTAGGTGGGGGTGCTGTCGATACAGCAGGGGAAGGGAAGAAGTGTTGTTCTGAGGCTGGGTAGGTTGACTGAACTGGTTCTGTGGTCCAATTCATACATACTGCACATGTAAACAAATCTCAAGCAGCTTTGGAATTTATGTATAAGTGAGAAAACCCAGCAATAATGGAGATTGGTTAACATAGCTAATCCTGTGGTGGTCGGGTACCTTTCCCTCCTCCTTCCCTTAACTCAATTGAGGGAGGGGGCCATATTCAGATATTGGCTTCCAGTAGGTGCGTGTGAACCTTAGAGCCCGGTATGGTAACCAGGTGGGTAGCTCAAAGAGCCACTGAGAGACCCACAGGATGGAAGGGTTTCATTTAATCAACACTGGAGTTCCTTCCTTTTCTCCCATTATATAATTTTTTGTGTAATAACAAAATTTAGTTCAAGAACTTGGTGTTAATTCCCATATGATACCTAGAAAATAATTTTATTTTAAAGTGTCTTACAATGCATTCTCACTTGTTGAATGTATACATGCACTACAATATTGTACAAATTGATTAATGGTTAAGAGCTGGGTTCCAGGAGCTCAAGGCCAATTTTCCACAGACACAGTTAAGTGTATACACGCATGTACAGTACAACACATCACTAATCATGTGATTAAAATATAATACCTAGTGTTCTCTTTCAGGTATCAACTTCTTCATAGAATCAGGCCATGTCTATGCTACTTCAGAAAAGGGGAGGTGGGAAAACCGCTTAAAATTAAGCAAGAAGTATGCCCCTGATATTGAAGACATAACCAAGACATGGATGAATATTTTCACATTTTTTAATTTACCTGAAGATGTATATATCACTTATGAGAAATCAATGTAAGTATGGTACTACATATTTGTTGTATAAATATATTACTGTATTAAAGAAATATATCATTAAGAAACGTTTGAAGCTTTCTGTTCCGACCAGCATTCAAGCTCTCTACGCCCCGGCCTTGTTCAAGCTCTCTACGCCCCGGCCTTGTTCAAGCTCTCTACGCCCCGGCCTTGTTCAAGCTCTCTAGGCCTTGTCTCGGCTATCATGACACATCATTACATTTTTAACAACATACTGTTGTTGTTGGAAATTAAACATACATAAAAACCACTAAACTCTGAGTCTTGACACCCAAACACATATTGTATATGTAAACAAACATTATACTGTTTTTACACTACAGTATATAAATACACGTTATATACAGTATAACTATATTTTTATAAACCATAACGAACCACTCTAATTTTGGTGTGTATGTGGCAGTGATATACAAGAAAGGGGATAGACAGGAGGCACTGAACTACAGGCCAGTGTCCCTAACCTGCATACCATGCAAGCTGATGGAGAAGATTGTGCGAAAAAAACTAGTGGAGCATCTGGAGCGAAGGAACTTTGTAACACAGCATCAACATGGGTTCAGGGATGGCAGGTCCTGCCTCACAGGGTTACTTGAATTCTACGACCAGGCAACAAAAATAAGGCAAGAAAGAGAAGGGTGGGCAGACTGCATATTTTTGGATTGTCAGAAAGCCTTTGATACAGTGCCACACAAGAGGCTAGTGCGAAAGTTGGAGATGCAGGCTGGAGTGAGAGGGAAGGTACTCCGGTGGATAGAGGAATACCTAAGCAACAGGAGACAACGAGTCTGTGTGAGGGGTGAGGTCTCAGATTGGCGAGACGTCACAAGTGGAGTCCCGCAGGGGTCAGTCCTTGGACCTATACTGTTTCTGGTATATGTAAATGATCTCCCAGAGGGTATAGATTCGTTCCTCTCAATGTTTGCCGACGATGCAAAAATTATGAGGAGGATTGAAACAGAGGATGATAGTAGGAGGCTACAAGATGACCTGGATAGACTGAGTGAATGGTCCAACAAATGGCTGTTGAGGTTCAACCCGAGTAAATGCAAAGTAATGAAACTAGGCAGTGGAAACAGGAGGCCAGGCACAGGATACAGAATAGGAGATGAAGTACTTAATGAAACAGACAGAGAGAAAGATCTAGGAGTTGATATCACACCAAACCTGTCTCCTGAAGCCCACATAAAGAGAATAACGTCTGCGGCATATGCGAGGCTGGCTAACATCAGAACGGCGTTCAGGAACCTGTGTAAGGAATCATTCAGAATCTTGTACACCACATATGTAAGACCAATCCTGGAGTATGCGGCCCCAGCATGGAGCCCGTACCTTGTCAAGCACAAGACGAAGCTGGAAAAAGTCCAAAGGTATGCTACTAGACTAGTCCCAGAACTAAGAGGCATGAGTTATGAGGAAAGGCTGCGGGAAATGCACCTCACGACACTGGAAGACAGAAGAGTAAGGGGGGACATGATCACAACCTACAAAATCCTCAGGGGAATCGACCGGGTAAACAAGGATGAACTTTTCAACACTGGTGGGACGCGAACAAGGGGACACAGGTGGAAGCTGAGTACCCAAATGAGCCACAGAGACGTTAGAAAGAACTTTTTCAGTGTCAGAGTAGTTAGCAAATGGAATGCATTAGGAAGTGATGTGGTGGAGGCTGACTCCATTCACAGTTTCAAATGTAGATATGATAGAGCCCAATAGGCTCAGGAATCTGTACACCAGTTGATTGACGGTTGAGAGGCGGGACCAAAGAGCCAGAGCTCAACCCCCGCAAGCACAATTAGGTGAGTACAATTAGGTGAGTACAGTGTAGAACTTCATGGTTTCACCATCTGACTCCAGCAGATGTCACCTGCTGGAGCAAAATGCTCAGAAATGTACCACGCACATCGTTATTATTACTATAAACACTGTTATTATTATTATCGGATTTCTGTCACTAAATCATAAATATGAATCATTTTCCTCAAGATTATTTTCTAAACATGTCACATATGATGCATAGATTCACGAAACCTCGGCTGTGTGCTCTGAATGTCTACCCCTTGCTGTGAACATCATAACTATCATTTTGTTCACTGATATCTGAACCTTGTACTTAATTTTTATTAGTCAGGATCATATATGACACAATCATTGCAACATAATTGCAATTACTTATTTTATTCGTCAATATTTAGTGGTGCTGTGGCATGATTTCAGCAGCTGTGGTGTAAGCTGCTGCTGCTGCATGTGCCAGCCTTGGTTGCTATCACTGTACCGAGGTTCTCACAGCCAGGAGGGATGTAGACAATTTTTTTTTCAAGATGGCATCTATTTACTGGAGTCGTGAGGAACAGGATGTGAGCCCCGTGTACCTGCGGGAGTTTTGAGTCTTAGAATATTCTAAGAAATGTGATATGTTGGTGTGCTCACCCTCTTTTTCCAAGATATCACTGTGTTTGCAGTATAGTGGTTAATCACAGCATACACATAATTTTCCCTAAAGGAATGAGAGTTAAAGAATAAGTAAATGATGGTATTATTTGGATTTGTTTTAAAGTTTTTAAATCTTAAAACACATTTTGTACCACATGCATTAAAAAGCTGTGTTCTGTAGAGGATTTTTTAATGGACCAGAATTTGTTTGGTCTAAATAATAATTTGCTAGAGTGAGTTTTGTTGAAACAAATTTCCACAATACTGTGTGTTCAAAAGTGTGTTTTATCATTTGCACTAATAAAAAAAATATTTTTTGTAGCCAGAAAATTACATTAACTGAAATTGTTTATGAAGCATAGCTCATTTTGGATGTAAAAAGGTGCTTATTGGCAAAGGGGTTTAGAATAAATGGATCTATTAGTGGGGGGGTTCCATTGTACTGTACTGTGTTACATGAAATATTACTTTTTCTGTTTATTTACCTAAGTTTCTATGTGTATCATGATTTTTGTCATTCCAAACTACCAGTGCTGGTCACCTTAGTCCTCGGAATCTAGTGCAGGCTCATCAAACTGCTGCACAGATGCATGGTGCTCAGATTGTTCGCAAGATTGTGTCTACAGTTGTACCATCAAAGTCTGATGCATACAAGTAAGACATTCATTAAGAGAGAATTTTTGAATAATATTAAAATATCCTTCACTATTTATATTTTGGACAGGCAAGGTTGTTGATTTCTGATTGTTATATAAACTTATGCTCTTAGATATGAAAACAATTAGTGTAATTCTAAGACATTAATGATATAGATGATGCATAATAATTTTTTATAAAGTACTATACTGTAAGTGCTATAATGCCTGTCCAGATTACATAAGTAAATGTCACTATTGTTCCGGATGATGCATATACAGATGTTAATATTGTAAATAATAAATTATATATATTTTGTTTAACCCAGAAGACTGTTTCAGATCTGAACAGTTGCAATGCAACAGACATCAATACAGAATGAATAGTTTCAGATTGGAGATTTATAGTCATTTCTCTGCAGGTGGGATGTAATGACAGAATGTGGCACTGTACTTCGAGGTCATCGTGTCCTTGTGGCGGTTGGCGCATATGCTGCTCTCAAGCCTCTGTTTCAACATGTTTGCCCTAACTTGGTTCCTCAACTGGCACTAATGGCACAGACCGTTGCATATCTGCATGTCGGTGAAGAAGAAGCTCAGAGATTGAAGTGAGAAACTTTCAGATTCAAATATTAAATCACATTTTCTTTATTTTATACTGATTTATCCATATCCATAATCTTAAAGTACTGTATATACACACACTGTTTTACTGTACCTCGATAGAACAAACTACTGGGACCAAATGAGAGGGCAGGTGGGATGAACAAGGTGGTGCTAGCTTCGTGACATTTTCAATTGTTTATATTGTTTAGGGAGTTCTGTGGCTGTCCTTGAGGCTGCAGGTTTCAGTTGCAGACAGCAGTGGTTTGTTTTGAATCCCTGACTTTGTGGCTCCCTACCTCGCTGGTAGCATAAATGGATAACTTAATATATAAATGCCATGGCTCTGTGCACCTCTGTGAAGGGGACCAGCTTCTGGCTCTGGGGTCCCCTGTAGGCCTTAGAACTCCACGACTGATGGCGGCTAGTAGATGGCACTTACATTGGAGATACAGTAGTAGCTGCAGGAAGCCACAAGGGGGCTCTTCCTAGAAAATATAAACTTAACAATTTTCTTTACTTTCCAAAGATCATCTCATTTCTTGTTACCCCTCTCTAGGCAGAATCTATGTATACTGCACGGTACTACAGTATTGTATGTATTGCAGAATAAGCATTTTCATACAGTTCTTTATTATGATTTGCATTTGTGATATTATTTGATGACCGACCACACACAAGAATGTGAAGGGGCGACGACGTTTCGGTCCGTCCTGGACCAGAATGGTCCAGGATGGACCGAAACGTCGTCGTCCCTTCACATTCTTGTGTGTGGTCTGGTCATCCTACTTTAGCCACGTTATTGTGACTCATCGCCTGCATGTGATATTATTTATTTGTTTGATATTTTAGAAATGATGCCAGTTCTATCTCCAAACTCCTCTGCAAGTCACTTCACTTCCTAGTCTCACTCTCTTTTTCTCCATCAATTTATCATTTTTCTTCCAAATTAGGATACCTCATCTTCAACCTACCTACCTTAACCCTTACGGTGTTACATCCACCATATGCAACTCTTTCTCATTTGATCCATTAAATTGATCCAGTCATGTACACCCCCGACAGGATGCTTTTAAATATCTGTGTAGTTTATTGGTTAAAGCCTCGTTATTACTGCTGATTGAGTTATTTTTTATTTGCAAATGTAGAAATACACAAAGCATAATGATCCTTGAGAAACAAGAATTCACACCACACAAGCACTGAGGTAAAATTAATATGGCTGGGATACATTCTGTGTTATACAATTTAAGGATTCTGTATATAAATAAAATACAATCCAATGTTTATTCAAGTAAAAATACATACATACGAGTTACAAACAGAATGTTGGATTTCTAGATAGAGCTAGTACATACTGTGCCTAAAGCCACTAATACACACAGCATTTCGGGCAAACTATGGGAAAAACACTTAGAATAAAACTTAAAACTAATTTAGATCACAGCATAAACTGAATTGAAAAAAGGGGAGAAAGAAAAAAAATAATAATAATAATTACATGATAGATGGAACAGCACAAATTTAAACAAAACAGCAGAAGTAATTTTAACTAAACATAATTACAATTTTCTTTGAGTTTATATACAGTACTGTACATTATAGCAGTCCCCGTGGCATAGTGGTAAGTGGCCTGGTGTTTCGCGAGTGTTTTAGCCTGGGTTCGTATCCTGGCTGGGAAGGATTTACTTGGCGAAAATCCTTAACTGTAGCCTCTATTTACCCAACACTAAAATGGGTACCTGGTTGTTAAACGATTTGGCGGGGTCATGTTCTGCGGAATATTAGGATTAAAGACTTGCCCAAAACACTACAGGTGCTAATGGCTGTACGAGAATATAAGAACTTTTGTATATATAAATAAATAAAATAAATACATTATCACTTCCATGTTTCCTGCTTTCATGAGGTCGGGCGGCATCCATCCGGAGAAAAGGATAATTAATATAGCAAAAGATGGTAATGCTGTATATATAAAATATTTAAAATAGTTTACCTTTTCATTACATCATTCACGATATATAGCATCACAGATAAACACTGGGAAGGGAACTATCATGGGAAAGTGCCAAGCCATTAGACTATATAGCACTGGGAAGAGGGGTCAGGATAAGAATTTGGGATGGGACAGGGGGGAAGGAACGGTATGGTGCCCAACACTTGGACAGTCGGGGATTGAATGCCGACTTGCATGAAGCGAGACCGTTGCTCTACCATCCAGCCCAAGTGTTTGGGCAGATAAACACTGGAGGTACTGTGCTCCTTGTCAATTGTCATATACAGAGTATACATCTTAAATATACAGAGTTCACTCCCATCTTACAAATACAGAGTTCACTCCCATCTTACAAATACAGAGTTCACTCCCATCTTACAAATACAGAGTTCACTCCCATCTTACAAATACAGAGTTCACTCCCATCTTACAAATACAGAGTTCACTCCCATCTTACAAATACAGAGTTCACTCCCATCTTACAAACTGCTTTCTCCCAACATAATAAAGAAACTAATTTTGTTTGACATTAAATACAAAAACCTTGATATCACAGAGATCTTGATACTATTTAACCTATCCATTCCCAGTAATGAGCTTTTCAAAATTATACAGCACTGTATTGTATATAAAACAAGTGATTCAGATATGTTCGGCTGTAATATTTCTTTAACAATTGTATGATGTTTGTTCCTCGATTAAGGTAATGGAGTATTGTACTGTTTACAGGTTAATGCCATCTCTCAATATAGAATCTTCATTTGGTAAACTTGATGGAGCATATATTCTTCCTCCAATAAAATATCCTGATGGTAAGAAACCCAGCAGTTTTGCTCTAGACTCTCCCTGCAATCTCTGTTACACATTTTTGGTTTTGATATTCAGTGTTATCAATTTATTTTAAACTTTTCCATTCTATTTTACTTCACATATGCTTATTTTTAAATTCTCTTATAAAAGTTTGTAGTTTTTCAACTATTTAGAGTATTGGATGATATATTTATAAAATATGATGTTGGCTTCAAAGAAGTTTATTTAAAATAAAAATAAGAGTTTTGGTACAGATGAAAAGTTCCTTCTTGAGCAAGTCCATACTCAAGCCAGTTCAGTGCAACCTCATCCAAAAATGCAATGGGGAATCTTTACAAACTACTTTCACTGGGTCATTATCAGGAGAAGGGAGACGCAAGAATCCTCTACCAAGCCCTGAATGTCCATCAGGTTGTATAATCCTCTACACTCAGATTACCTCCTCCATGTGATCTTTGGATTCTTAGAAACTGCCAAAAATTGCTTTGCTACTGTTATCTGCGGTACCAATTGCTAGTTGACTGCCTTGGTCACTTTTCCCTACCCAAAACCAGGTGACAGCACTGGTTTAGTAAAGAGAGTGCCTAGGAATCTAAGTTTGATTTGGTTCTAACACCTCCCACAGAAGGCAAAGGGTAAGTCTGGCCAGATGAGTGGACATGGGACTGACCAAGTGGCTTGCTCATAAAAAAGCTTTTTATTTAGCTTACACTCAAAGCTTACTTCTGAATTTAAAATCACTTGGTAGCTCCCAGTGCTAAAAGAATACGCAATATCTCAAAACTTCAATGTTCCAGTTTTGTAGAAACATGGCAGTAGGCACCAATAGATTTAATATCCACTCCTGACTTTGAGACAAAGACAGGTAATTAACCACTGGCAACCAGCTTCCCTTTTAAACCTCAAACAAATGTTCACAATAAAGTATTCCACTAATCTACTCTTTGAGGCTATGACCAATGTGTTTTCTCTTAAATTATTCCAACAGATACAAGTTACAACTATAATTGAAGAACACTGACATAATAAAACATAACTTAACTAAAAACTAAAATCAGTATTGGCTACTAACTTAACAAGGAAAGGAGGAGCTCTCCAGCATAGATATGTTCCCAGTGACAACTACAAACTGACTAGTCAAGTTGTGGCAGAGTTCATGTCACAACTTGTGACAAGCTGGTAACACTAGATGCAGCATTACCAGCTTGTCATATAACTAAGAACAAAAATCCCCACACTAATCACTGGCAAGAACGTAATCAAGCATTTATCGCATTTCTATAAACATCCAATCTCCAAGTTATACATACATTCTAAAGAATCTATGTACAGTATAACTACTGAAAATCTGAAACTACAGACAATGGTTCTTGAACACTGGATCACCTCAACTGACTGCCTCTTGATAGAAAATTTGTCACTTTACCCCGTTCACTCCCACCCCTACCCTCTGGGAGGTACATTAGAATAATTCTTCAAGTAATCATCATTATACAAATAACACTACATGCAATGCCAAAACCTATGAACTGCAAACTTCAGCTATTCTACTGGCTGTGAGGCCCCTGGGGTGCAGGCCCTCAAGGCCCACTCTTTAATTTAGCCCTGCTGGCCCTAATGTCAGCACAAATCATAGTGGAAAAGGTAGCAATCGAGTGTGGTGCACTCTTGCAGGTCGTGGGCCTGGGTTAAACCCTCGCCTACCGAGTTTCACAAACTTGTGAGTTAACCGAGTCTGATGAGTTTAAAATAGGTAATGATGGCATTTAGCTATACACGGTAGGACTTTTATTTTTCTAATGACCCCCTTCTCCCATTAAGGGCCAAAATTGGACAGTTTGAAAAGATCCCTGCTGCATCAAAGGTGAGGCGGTCGTACTGGCCTGGCTTGTGTCTGCTCTGCACCTGAGGAACAGATGCTTATCTAAAGGACTGACTGAGCAGTTTCATCTCAGAAAAGCATTTATATTTCTAGGCAAATGGTACCTGAAGTTGGGTCATGGAGATGCTTATGAACAGAGGAAGACTACATTAGATGAAGTTAAAGATTGGTACATTCAGCAATCTGGTAGTCCCGAGTGTATGAATGAGCTGGCTAAGTACCTGTGTCATATTTTACCAGGTTAGTAATAATACATATAATTTGTTCTCTTAAGTGTACACATTGGTGTAAACTAAAACAGACAGATGCACCTGAAAATATGATAATCATTCACGTTACTGGATAATTTGATGGTATGGGTATATAGTGAGCAAGTCCCCTGTCCATTTGACTTCTGCAAAAACAAAAATTATTATTATTATTATTATTATTATTATTATTACATTATTATTATATTTATAAAGAAGAACATTGTACATTGGGTTAATTAGTAGTTACATGTATATTTAATAAAGCCACTACATACAGTACGCAAAGCGCTTCAGGTGCAACTTTTAAGAATTCATTCAAATTATTTCCAGGTTTAATAATGTTGCTTCTATATTCCAGAAATATTACCTGCGCACAATCATGGTAATAAAACATCAACCCTCATGGAAATAGAATGCATATATTTATTTGGGTTTAAGAGTTTCAAAATAAAAGCAAAAATGCTAATGATAATTGTATATACAGTACATGTTATTTTGATGTGATTCTAAGGATCAATGTTTCTGCAGCCCGGATTCTAGGCCAAGATTCTTCAACCACTTACGAAATATGTGCATCATTCCTTACTCATGGGGGCTTTGTTTACATTTATTAAAAAGTTTACAGGCTTTGAAACCTCACAACCCAAAGTCATTATTGTTATATACAACCTCATAGTGCTTTGGAGCTCATAAATTATTTAATAAATGTAATCAAAGCCGTCTTGATTTGAGGAAAGATGCACAGATTTCATAAGTGGTTGTGTAAATGCTTGAAGAATCTTGGACCCTGTTGGCAGTCTGGATCAACCAGGCTATTTGATGCCCCTGCTCGCAGTTTGACGTATAAATTACAGGTGCTATATAATAATAAATAAATTACAATTGCAAGGTAAATTAGATTTTGCAAATATTGCAGACCTATGGAAAATATTGACTGATGACAATTTTTAAAAGAAAGCCAATGTAGGTGTGCCTATTAGAACCTTACTCAGAAGAAATTGGTTCTACAGAATAATTCTTACAATATATTCTTAGGTTTGAAGGTGGAGAAAGTTACTGCGGATGGATGCCTGACATCTGATACTCCCACCAGAGAGCCTTACATAGAAGTAGTTGCTGAAGGCTTTGGCCTTGCTCTAGGAGGAAATGGATGTGGAGCTAAGAGTTGTGATGAAATTGGCCGCCTGGCAGCTCATCTTGTGATACTTGGCGAATGGGAATCAGAAATTCCTAAGGAACGCCTCAAGACGATTTGGGAGCCTTCTCAACTATGAGTTAAAGTGATTTGCAATAGCTTTATCTTTATTAAACAAATTGTTTATTTTATATTACCCAGAGTATAACATATAATTGAATCTTCTAATATTAAGTAAACTAAGTACAATATACAGTACAGTATATATCAACTATGCCTTAGTTATATGAACTATGCCTTACAGCTCACTGAGCACTTTTATATTATTTTATCTAATAATTATAAGCAATTAATCCTTCAGCTTATCAGCTGAAGGATTATCAGCTTATCATATTTTGTCTATTCACATGCTCATATAAGGATAACAAAATTGATAAATTAATCTGTTTTAGAGGACATGCAGACGTACCTTGTCATGCTTTGCCTGCTGACTGTATTTAGTCTTCAGGTTTTCTCTCATGACTGAATTTAAACATAAGGTGAAAGGCCCAGTACAGCCAGGGATGCTCAGGAAAGTCAGTATTCCCTCAGCATTTTATTTTCGAGAAGAATTCCCTCGGAGTGCCCGACAAGATAATTCCCTGCAAATTGCAAAGAATAAATGTTGCATACCCAAGCAGAATAACACTTGGCCTGGCTGCAAAAAATAAATGGGCGAAACCAAGGAGGACAGAAAAAACTTTCTTCAAGGATCCAAGCTACACATAAAAATCGAGCTAGAGTACTTGGAGAAGAGCTGAAAGAATAAAAAAAAAAAGGACTAGCACAGGAAAACAGAGGCTGCAAAACAACAACACCACATGGCACTGACTGAACAGCCAAGAAACAAATGCCTATTACGAGCTTAAATGCCTTTGCAACAGAGAAAACCAGAACTGGAACCGGCCAGCACACTTGGAATTAACTCATAAGGAAATGCAGCACAGGCGCTCAGGATTGAGAGCGAATAATCTGAGAAATAGTAGACCTCACAAAGCAGACCCCCACTCCACCACCCCCTTCTCACCCCCCAAAAAACACATTCCTTGACAGGAAGGATCTCACAAGGACCTAAAACAGGGCCTGGTCAGCCTGTATACACAGGTGAATGGAGGGGCAAGTCAAAAGGACAAAGAGCATGTCAGGTTCAAAGAGCCAAACAACAATAAAATTTTTGGGTGAACGATGAGTGCTGCCTCCACAGCAAAAACTGTAAAACAAGAAGTGCACAGTTTCTGTCTCCCACCCACGAGGGAGCCGGTCGGCCGAGCGGACAGCACACTGGACTTGTGATCCTGGGTTCGATCCCAGACGCCGGCGAGAAACAATGGGCAAAGTGTCTTTCACCCTATGCCCCTGTTACCTAGCAGTAAAATAAGTACCTGGGTGTTAGTCAGCTGTCACGGGCTGCTTCCTGGGGGTGGAGGTCTGATCGAGGACCGGGCCGCGGGGACACTAAAGCCTCGAAATCATCTCAAGATAACCCTCTCCCTGAATTGGTGGCAGCCCCCCTCACTTGCTGCCAGGTGTTTGACTCCATCAAACCTCACACTAGAATAATAAGCAACTAACAAATGTATCAAAACAAAAAGTCTTTATATGTTGTTTTCAATATATGACTAAAATTTGAAAATTTCCATTAAAACGAGACAAAAATAGGTTTCATGCTCTTTGATAGTGTTGAATTCATTGGTGCTACGTTGAACTGCATTCGGTACAGCTACAACGGTGTAAGGATTGTCATTGTCACTTAACGATGATGATCTCTGGACTCTCCTTAGGCTAATGAGACCTATTTGGACCAACCAAGACCTATGCCTCACATTATGGTTCCATCTTTAAAAATAAGGAATGCTTTCCTAAAGAGGATGGAATCGGGAAGGGGCAAAGAGCAACACGATTTTTAAATTTATCCAAAAAAAAAAAGATCTGTTATTTGGTAATTTTGTTATTAGATTTTAAATTATTTTGTTTACGAAACAATATTCGTATTTTTACTAAGACTAATGTAAGTACCATTAGTCCTAGGAGAGAAATAATATAATGTTTACTTGCAGTCATTCAAAAAAAACATTGTGATGGTTTACATATATTTTTTAACTATATATAATTTACATATATTTAATTAACTATATAAATATGTTGTGTTGTTTTGGTGCATAAATAAAATAAGGGGTATATAAATTACGTTTCAAATGTCCTTTCATAAATAATTTAGATATGGTTTTATCCTATAAATGAAGATATTGTTGTATTTTTATACAGCATAATACCATACAGTACTGTACCTATATTTTTCATACCTAATATTATCAAAGTCTTAAAACCAGAGGACCGAATGAAATTATTCCAATCGAGCCCCGAGATTGATAAGGTTGGCCTAAGAACTATACAGTATACTGATTGATTGATTGATGAAGATTAAGCCACCCAAAAGGTGGCACGGGCATGAGTAGCCCGTAAGAACAATGTACTTACTGCACAGGTATACTGCTGGGGTGATTTTGTGTGTTGTTTCTATAATCTAAGTGTGCAACTACCGTACTTAAATCCCTGTCTGAGTTCGTACAAGATCTTTGAGACCTGTTTACATCTATGAACGAATTGCCGTTGGGGGGGGAAAAAAAGGTCACAGCTAGCATGAAGACAGCTGTTAATGTATTCAAAAGAGTAAGTGATTTCATAATGATGATGATTTGCAGATGACACTCAGCTACTGCCCAGAGAGAGATTTGGGATCATATACGTACTACATTCTGAAGGTCCCAGTAGTACAGTCGGGTTCGTTCTCGACTCACAATCGAGAATTTTGTGTTCGAATCCCGGGCGGCACAGAAATGGTTCGGTGCATTTCCTTTCACCTAATTCCTGTGTTCACCTAGCAGTAAAGTTAGCCAGCTAGTTGTGGGGTTGCATCCTGGGAAGGGGACCTCAGTATAAGCCTAACATGTACTGAATGTATAAGCTGGCTCCCAGTCCCCCGACATAGTGCATTATTATACCCATCTTTGATCAGTCAACGTCACTAGATCACGTGAGGGTCACTGAAATACTTTGACAATGACCCGCATTCTTGTCAGAGCGAATAATTTAGCAGTCGGAGAAGTTTTGGGACTATCTCTGACCAAGTCAAAAAGTCTGGAACCTAGTCTGGTTTTGAAAATTGTGCATTTCCATCCATTTCTAATGATAAGCACACAAAACTCTAAGAAAATGGACAGAAACTACTATGTTTTCTAGACTAAACAGCCACGATATGGTTGTAGCATTATACACCCTCAGGTGTATAATGCTGTACACCTGATGGTGTATTCACACCAGGTGTATACATGCTACACAAAGGAGGACCAGATTCACCCAAGTGACTTGTTGATTCACTCCTACCTCCACCCTATTAACTTTGTACAGTACTTCAGTGATCATCTCGGAACTGGCGGAACCGGACCAGGTAAGTCCGACTGAATTACCTTGCAGCAGACTGATGAAGAAAAAGGCCTTGGAGTCAGAATCCATCATTCACTGAAACTTGCACAACAAGTGTGAGCAGCCGTAACAAAAATCTAAACAAACCATTGGAATAATCAAGCGTACCTTTGAGTTTAAGAGAAAGAAGTTATTCAAGTGTGTAAATTTTTGGTGCAACCCCCATTTGAGTTATTGCATTCAGCATGCAATAGGTTATGCATGCAATAATGCAGCATGGTTATTGCATGCAGCATGCAGGTGAGGTCTCCAAGCATGTAGACCTCATCATCAGAAAAACATACCCGAATATACCTGTTTCATGCCCGAAACACTTTGCGTAATAGTGGCTTTAGGCATTGTATGTACTAGCCCTATCTATAAATCCATCATTCTTTGTAAAATCTCTTGTATGTATGTACCTTACCTAAATAAACATTTATTTATTTATTTATTTACATGGCTGCTTTGGAGAAAGTACAACACCTGGTAACAAAATTCCTTCTAGAACTGAGTCAACTCTCGTACCTGGAACGATTCAGGGCTGATAATGCAAACCAGGCATGACAGGACTGATCTCGTCGAAAGCTTTAAAATACTGATCAGTTTGAAGGATGTTGATATCGACAACCTCTTCAAAAAGTTACATGTAACAAACAAGGAACAACGATTTCAAGATCAACAAACTACAATGTAGGACTGATAATGAGGTGTGCTTTATACTCTGGGATATAAGCCCGTGGAATCACCTACCTTCCAAAGTCGTAAATGCCAAAACTGCAGAACTTAAAAATCCAGCTTAAAAAAAATCATCAAGATCGGGGGACTTTTGCCAAGCCGCTGGCTTCCTGTCCTCATTGAGGCCACTAGTGTGTTAGTGGCCCTCGGGTAACATCAAACACCTTTCTAGGTTACTCAGTCTGCAGTAGTTACCCCTTACCAAGAGCTGTTTCAGAATCCGATTTTCTTATTTAGAAACAGAAGATTTTATTATTAAAAAAAACGAAACAGTGTTATGGGAAACTCAAAATCTTTGAACGTAGATATTGTTCTGAAAAAAAATCATCTTCGAATGTACCAAAACTATGCTATAGACCTCATGTTAATATATAGTACCTCCAATTACATTATACACATTACACAGGGGTCCCCGTAGTACAGTAGGTTTCGTTCTCGACGCGCAATCGAGAATTCCGCGTTCGAATGCCTTTCACCTAATACCTCTGTTCACCTAGCAGCAAGTAGGTACTCAGGAGTTAGGCAGCTTGTTATGGGGTTGGTTGCATCCTGGGTTGGGATGGAGGGGAACCTCGATATAAGCCTGATATGTATAAATACACTCTGGCTGCCTGTCCCGCCAACACAATGAATTAACTATAATTATATAATATGGTGCCCACTGAGCTATTATTTCTAGTAGTCGTTAACAGACCTAACAGAGTCGTTTGATAGACCTATCGAGGTCCCACCCTAGGCCAAATACTGATGACCTTCCCCTTTGACCTTTGATACTGATGATGACATACATATATATATATATATATATATATATATATATATATATATATATATGTCGTACCTAATAGCCAGAACGCACTTCTCAGCCTACTATTCAAGGCCCGATTTGCCTAATAAGCCAAGTTTTCATGAATTAATGTTTTTTCGTCTACCTAACCTACCTAACCTAACCTAACCTAGCTTTTTTTGGCTACCTAACCTAACCTTACCTATAAATATAGGTTAGGTTAGGTTAGGTAGGGTTGGTTAGGTTCGGTCATATATCTACGTTAATTTTAACTCCAATAAAAAAAAATTGACCTCATACATAGAGAAAAGGGTTGCTTTATCATTTGATAAGAAAAAAATTATAGTAAATATATTAATTCAGGAAAACTTGGCTTATTAGGCAAACCGGGCCTTGAATAGTAGGCTGAGAAGTGAGTTCTGGCTACTAGGTACGACATATATATATATATATATATATATATATATATATATATATATATATATATATATATATATATATATATATATATATAGCTGGAAAACGCCAAAGAGAGCGCGAAAACGGCAACAATTATCACCTTTCTTGGGGACCCGAGGGGGGGGGGGGGGGAATTTAAGAAGCATTTACCCATATATACCTATGAAACCTATACATCTTTTCGCAATCTTTTGACGGCTTTGTTTACATGTATTAAACAATTTAAAAACATCGAAAGTTTCCTCCGAGTACTTCGGAGCTCATAAACTGTTTGATAACTGTAAACAAAGCCGTCATGATTGAGGAAAGATGTATAGCTTTCGCAAGTGGATGCCTGATGTCTGACGACGAAAGGTCAGGCCGGATGGAGTCTGGCAAGCTCCAGGCGGAGCCAGACGGTCCGCATAGCGTCCAGAGAATTCCTTGGGCAATGTTTCCTGTCACCCGATGCTTGTGTTTACCTAGTAGTAAACAGGTATCCGGGTGTTAGACAATTGTTGTGAGTTGCATCCTGGAGATGGTTATCAATGGCCCTATAGCCTCTATGTGGACCTGGATAACCTTCAGTACAGGCTTCCAGTTACCGACACGAGAAATTTACAATCCCTCTTTGTTCACATACAATCCAGCCTTCTTGTACACCTACAATTTCTTTGTACAACTGTACCACCTTTCTTTGTTTTGTAATAAGGGAAGCAGCACTGCTAGGCGTGGAGGGAGCGCCTCCTGGCTCTGCTGGCCTGCAGCGAAAACTGCAGACACTAAGTAAAGCGAAATTTTGTAGATACGAGTTAGAGTGAAATCTATTCGAGCTATTCCGTCTATTATCACACTGCCGTGCAAGGAGTTTGCACGGAGCGTTGCCAACACCACTAAAACGCTGCCACAGCACAGCCTCAACACTACCACAACACCACCAAAGCACCATCACACCACCACCACAACTCCACCACAACATCACAACACCGTCACCACACTACCACAACACCACCACACTACCACACGACTCCAGGCTCCAGTCTGGAGTCCATACCTAGTTAAACACAAGACAAAGTTAGAGAAGATTCAGCGGTATGCCACCAGACTGGTCCCGGAACTGAGAGGTATGAGCTACGAGGAAAGGCTCAGGGAGCTGAACCTCACATCCCTGGAAAACAGAAGAGTAAGGGAAGACATGATAACAACCTACAAAATTCTCAGGGGAATTGACAGGGTGGACAAAGACAAACTCTTCAGCACGGGTGGGACACGAACAAGAGGACACAAGTGGAAACTTAGTACCCACATGAGTCACAGAGACGTTAGAAAGATTTTTTCAGTGTCAGAGTAGTTAATAAATGGAATGCATTAGGCAGTGATGTGGTGGAGGCTGACTCCATACACAGTTTCAAATGTAGATATGATAGAGCCCAATAGGCTCAGGAATCTGTACACCTATTGATTGACGGTTGAGAGGCGGGACCAAAGAGCCAAAGCTCAACCCCTGCAAGCACAACTAGGTGAGTACCAGACTACCACAACACCATAACACTATCACAATACCACCACAACATTGCCGCTCCGCCACCACATCACCACCAGCTTACTCTTCAATGAAGGGATGTATAATGAATAACTCATCATATTGAACAACTTATTCTCCCCCCTCCAATAAAAAAGGTCTGTGTTATACTATTGCAACTCCAAAGACCATAACAAGCTGTGAAATAGACTAACCATAAACTTAACCTGGACTAGGCCTATATAAGTAATCCTAGGCCTAACTTGCGTAAACGTAGGCCTAATTTGCTAGATATATGCCCGAAACGCTTTGCGTAATAGTGGCTTTAGGCATTGTATGTACTAGCTCTACCTATAAGTCAAACAATTCTTGTAAATATTTATTGTATGTATGTACCTTACCTAAATAAAATTGTATTGTATTGTATTGTATTGTATATATATACTATGCTAGGCCCAGGGAAAGTTAGGCTTGGTATTTGCCTACTCTCTCTGGCCCTCTTATGAAAATAATGCAATAAAATGTTGACTTTTTATATGAACCAGCCAATATCCAGTCGCTTTAGGTTGTTAATGTGAGGTGAGTTTACCTGAGTTTACCTTAGGTAAACTCAAACCCTGTCATTGTACACTGAGAGGGCCCAGTGCCCTAGTGTACCTTATCCACTCGGTACACTTATCCAAGCCTAAGGTACAAATGCTGCACAGTCAATATTTGGTTGGTCTTAATAGCCCTAATAGAGGTTGATAGGCCCTTAAGCCCACAGTGGCCTCAGTTCAGGTTGATAGGCCCTTAAGCCCAAAGTGGCCTCAGTTCATCAGGGTCACACACACACGCATAGGCCGGAGCGTAGGGCTGGGGTGAGGTCACAAGGCTGGCAGCGTGAGGCTACGAGACATTCCAGCGTGTGCACCGGAGGGCCCTCATGCAGGCGGACCTGACGCGGGCCCCCTACCTACCTCGCCTGGCCTGCCTCAGTACCGCGTCAGCCGTGCTGGGAGAAGGGTGTTGCGGCTCCTCCGTTGTGTTTGAACCCAGTGTGGCGAGGTCGGTCATGTGTCGGGGAGTCTATGCCACAACTTGGAACGCAAGCCTGTGATTTTTTTTTAATTATTATTCGGGTAATTGATTGTTGGTGCTCGTTTAATGTCGTCGATATAATGGAGTGAGAAACGGAACAAAGAGGATTGTTAATTGCCAAGCAGCACTTAGAATAATAGCCTATGAACGTTCCCAGTCTTAAACGTCCAAAAGAATTAGTGGAAATGAGGCTTAAGTGAGACAAGTACTTGCCTATTGTGCTTGCGGGGGTTGAGCTTTGGCTCTTTGGTCCCGCCTCTCAACTGTCAGTCATCAAGTATACACATAACTATTTTGCCAGGTACAATACTTCGAAGAAGTATACCATTAATAAGCCTGTACTAAACATCCCCTTTTGCTTTATAACTGGGGACAGATAAGTTCGCCTTACCAATTTGGATTTATGCTTAATTTTTATTTCTAAGCAGGAAAACAGTTTCAAATCATCCCAACTTTGAGGAATCCCGTGACCAGAGAATGACTGAACCACTCTATGATGTACCAAGCAGAGTGGTAACAAGCCTCGAGGCACTATATACCACCGCTGAATGACCATTTCACACCGGCTTAACAATCCCACTTGTGTCATTGACACCCGTATACCATCCCCCCCGTCGAAAAAAAAACTTAAATCAGAATTGGAGCGGTAAAAAAACACAAAAAAAAAACGCGAGAAAACTGGTTTAACATCTGTGAACTTGGTAGATTATCGAGAGGGGAAACTTTTAAGTGTGAAGGCAGTAGTGAAGATTCAACTTGCAGGTGCCAAGGCACCGCCCACAGCGACCTCCTCCTCCTACTAGGCTGGCCGGTGAAGAAGATGAACCAAACTCACCAGCGGGTCTAACCAACCACCACGAAGCTCCAAGTCTCCCCGGGACGATGTCACCTGTTGAGGTGAGTGTAATCGATTCCTCCGGGTGTTCCGTTCTCATGAGCCATGAACGACTCCTGGGTGTGTTTCATTCTCATGAGCCATGAACGACTCCTGAGGGTGTTTTATTCTCATGAGCATTGAACGACTCCTGAGGGTGTTTTATTCTCATGAGCATTGAACGACTCCTGGGTGTGTTTCATTCTCATGAGCCATGAACGACTCCTGCGGGTGTTTCATTCTCATGAGCCATGAACGACTCCTGAGGGTGTTTCATTCTCATGAGCCATGAACGACTCCTGCGGGTGTTTCATTCTCATGAGCCATGAACGACTCCTGAGGGTGTTTTATTCTCATGAGCATTGAACGACTCCTGAGGGTGTTTCATTCTCATGAGCCATGAACGACTCCTGTGGGTGTTCCATTCTCATGAACCATTCCTCACAGTATTGACTAAATGCTCGTTACCCCAGCAGCCTGCCTCATCGTGGCACCTGTCCTCAGGCCAGGCTCAGCCGTGCTTGGCACCTAAAAGAAATTCATGAATTTTTAACGTTCACTGTTTTCAAAGTCGGGAGTGTCTCAAATTTAAATATCATTATATATTTGCATTGCATGTGTAGTTAGGCGTTGGTTAAGTTAGGTAAAAGTTCTTTTGGCAATTATTTATACTTGTGGTACGTGGGTGAAGCATTTACAGAGGTGTGATTCGAATAGAGGTTCGAACAGAGGATTTTTTTTTTCTTGACAACGGCTGGATTAGCGATCATTTGACCTTAGTTGATAAGGACGGGCTGCCTTCATGAATAAAAAAATACACTCACATGTGACTTAAAATTGATTACGATCGAAGTTTCCAGTATCAATGTTTCATTCACTTCCTGTGTTCGAAACGCACTTCTCAAAATGCTTCACCCACTTATATATATATATATATATATATATATATATATATATATATATATATATATATATATATATATATATAATATGTGTGTGTGTGTGTGTGTAAAGAATAGATTTGTCATCTGAACCGAAACACCTAACCCATTCAAAGCTAGAGAAATTGCTGACGTGGAGAGCATGCAAATATTTTTTACTCCCTGAATCTACTGAATAAAACATCTAAATTATAGGGACCTTTTAATATGTTTAGCTCTGTAGTCTCTCTAACGCAGACAAGAGAGAGAGAGAGAGAGCGAGAGAGAGAGAGAGAGAGAGAGAGAGAGAGAGAGAGAGAGAGAGAGAGAGAGAGAGAGAGAGAGAGAGAGAGAGAGAGAGAGAGAGAGAGAGAGAGAGAGAGAGAGAGAGAGAGAATCATTTACACTTGAAAAAATATTAGAGACTGATTCCAAATTTAAACATGGAAATGACTACACGAGACAAGACCAGGAGGCATGGCAGGATGTGCAAAATAGTCCCGTTGAAAAATAAAGATGTAGTAGGTACGCTGAGAGAGAACTTATCAACATTAAAGGCCCAACAATTTTCAACACTCACCCTCTAAACGTAAAGGGGTATAACTAGCCGGTCTCTCTAGGTTTTTCAAGAGAGAGAACTGATAAAGTCCCTCCTCAGGTTATCTGATCAACCAGGCTGTGATTCATAGGTTAGGCTGGTAACAGCTGCGTCTAAAAGCCTCGTCGAATAGACCAACCAGGAAGCCTGGTCAGAGACGCAAAGTGGGTAGATCGACAGACCAGTGTATGAATGGAGGGACGAACTGGTGGGCAGACGGACGGACACGCGGATAGACAGAGGGGCGGGCGGACACGTGGATAGACAGAGGGGACGGGCGGACACGTGGATAGACAGAGGGACGGGCGGACGGGTGTCTCAAACGTGGGCATCATTATTTCACGCGTCAGTTAACAGCATGACTGGAAGGGCCACATGCACACGTCAACTCTGACACGTGTATGTAAATGTACACACACACACACACACACACACACACACACACACACACACACACACACACACACACACACACACACACACCAAGTACGTTTATTGAGACAAAATACTTCTCAAAGGGATATAGAGTAGCTTAGGCTATTTCTACGCTATAGAAATACCGCTCTCCATTGTAGCTATATCTGGCCTTCTGTGACTCATACTCATCATCCATTCTCACTCATACTCATCCATAACTAACTTGAGGGACTGCGTGCCGGCTTATGTTTAATTTATGTTAGGATGTCTAAAAATCATGTGATGTGGATGATGTAAAGTTTTGTTTTTAGTTTTATGTAATTATTCTGGACAAACATGATGATGATGTTCGATTTGAGCTCTGAAGTCATGATGACGTCACTGTATACTCGCTTCGCGACCTGGTGTAGCCAATGAGAGGCGACCTGTGACGTCATGCCTCTTTGGGCCAACCTGTGATTGGGCGAGATATGTTATTTGGTTGTCTGACATCATGGAGTGCGAATATTCGACCTGTGGTGTACGGCTGCTCGCAGCCTGACGTAAGAATCACAACCTGGTTGATCAGGTATCCTCTGAAGGTGTTTTTATTAAGTTCTCTTTTGAACGCTGTGAGAGATTGGTAAGTTATATGCCCCTCTAATCTGTAGCGGGAATGTGTTGCAAAGTCTTGGGTCCTTGATGTTGCTAGAGATGTGTCTCAGAGTACCTATTGCACCTTTGTGTTTCAATGTGACTATGTTGCACATCCTGCCATGCCTCCTGATGGCTTCGAAGTGTGTTCGTTTGTCGAAAGGCAAGTTTTATATCAAGAGGATGAAGGGTCAAAGTGATATTTTTAAGTTCAGATATGAAGGGAAGGCAGAGAACAGTCTTTCTAGTATTGGAAGCTGGTTTAGCATGAAAGAAAGCTGTTTAAGCTTGGCAATGGGCACAGTTGATAACATTTATCACGAGGAAACGGTTATCGTGTGTGTGTGTGTGTGTGTGTGTGTGAAAAATTAGGATTAAGGAACAAATCCGTAAGGGCCGTGACGAGGATTCGAACCTACGTCCGGGAGAGATACTGAATTAAGTTAGGATTAAGGACTTGCCCGAAACGCTATGCGTGCTAGTGGCTGTACAGGACTGCAAGAACTTTGTATATATTAATAAAATAAAAATAAAAATGTCCCAACATACATGATCTAGAATATCTATACGTAGCTCAAAATACACCCTCCTAGAACACCAACAAATGGTTCATTATAAATGCTCTTGAATGACTAAACATAACTCGCAGCAGCGAACATATTCCAGCGCACGTCCTGTCAGGATATTTGCTCGCCACTCGGCACTATATATCCAACTGAACTTGTGTAAAGGCAATTTGTTCCAAGAGACAAATCCTTTTGCTTGACCATGAACGAAGTTTTAATTCCCCGGAGCAGGACAGAAAGGGCCGAGGCGCGTTTCCTTTCATCTCATACACCTGATTGATTGATTGATGAAGATTAAGCCACCCAAGAGGTGGCACGGGCATGAATAGCCCGTAAGTGGTGGCCCTTTCGAGCCATTACCAGTATCAAAAGATGATACTGGAGATCTGTGGAGGCGCAACTGCACCCTGCGTGACGGGAGATGTCTCCCGGACCAAGTGGTGACCAAATGGTGTCATACACCTGTTGGTCTAACAGTTAAATAGGTACCCCGGAGTTAGGCAGCTGTTGTGGGGGTTCATCGTGGGTAACTAGGTCCCCTGACCCCCGACAATGGGAATTATGAGCCTCGTAATTACCCAAGGTGATTGCACAAGCCCTCTCGACCCTTTCATAATTTTCCAGGTAAAGTCAACGAGTTATAAATTCCATTTATAACTCTCACTATCAACAACTCTGATATTCGTGTATGGGTATTGGTACCGTGAGGCCAGAGAGAGGGGGTAATGCTCGCTATACAATGTACTATAGCCCTATAATAGGGGCTGTAACTATAATTGGTTATGTAAGACTATAAATGGGTGCTGTAACACCATAATAGGTTTTTGTAAGGTATTATGGATGTTGTAACACCATATTGGGTTCTGTAACACTATAATTAGTGTTGTAATACTATAATTGGTACTTTTAACGCTATAATGGGAGGTGTAACATTATTATGGTTGCTGTAACTATAATGGATGACATAACACTATAATGGCCAACAAATTTAAATTTGGTTTCTCATTTAAACATAATATTATATTCCTTGTTTGGAGCCCAGTTTAATTTTTTTATTTATATATCCAATATGATCAATTAACTTGCTTAATTATCTGTCAGTTGTGATTATCGTTTAATTATATCATTAATGTGATTAATTTTTTAATTAATTTTAATTGTGTAGTGACTCGAAGGTTTTTAAACACACTTTGTATATGAATAAACATGAATCCGACAATCTTTATTGAGTAAAATATTGTGTGAGAGTCATATCGCTGTGAATATGGTGGGCATAGGGGCACAGTGGGCACAGGGGCACGCTGGGCACAAGGGGCGTGGTGGGCATGTATTTGCCAGGAGCCTGTGACCGCTAGACTGCAGGGGTCTAGCATGCCAGCTGCCCACCATCCGTTCTTGGCCCTGCCCGCGGGCCAGGAACCTCCCTGGCACACACCTCCCCTGCTAGATGGTAATGAACAGCGAGTGAGGGGTATTTTTTTCCCCCCTCTGGGGAGCCAAAGTGGTGTGGGCCTCCGCCGGCAGGCAGGGAGGAGGCTCCCTGGCCAGGGACGAGGCTGCAGACGACAGAACAGTTGGTCAGAACCAGTTTTCCCTGGCGCGGCCGCGCAACTCTCTGCGCATCCTCCAGCTTGTAAACACACCGCTTCTGCCTGAGTAATCACGAGTCCCTTGCTTCCCTCCTCACGGCAACCCCTGCAAGCAGCACCCCTTCCTGCTGGGGGATCACTGAGATAAGGAGTAGTGTACCCAAGAAAACCGTAGCAAGATATGAAAAGTCAATGGAGTCAGTGAAGAGCTTAAGCGGAGTGTAGCAGTGAAGTCTCCTGTGTAGCGGATATCTTTCCCAGTATCGGGGAGATGCAGCTTTACGCAAGGATTATTCTGGC